GTGATTTAATTACTACAGTTTCTGTGTGCTTGTTTTGGGGCTGAGCAGTCGGGAACAAACAAAGAGTCTCCTACAACAGTGCCTGGCCCAACGGCAGTTTACTGTCTAGTTAGCCTTCTGCACTCTTTCCCAACAGAACCAGGAGTCCTAGCTTTGCTCTATACTACTCAAATTTAGCGAGTTTCCTTCCACCTCCCACCTCAATCTTCCACATTTCCTTTCCTATAGGAGAAGGAGTAAATAAATAAATAAATAAATACCTTTGTTTTATAGAGGATCCCACTTAGAGTAACTCTGCACATGGCAGTAATTCCAGTTTTGTTGCAAAAATGGGGTGTCACTCGGTTTAATGTTTAAGTCTGTGCATGAATGTGTATGGCTGTACCATGGTAACATGTCTGACCATGTTACTATGCATGTTACTACGCATGTCACTATGCATGCAGCTACTATTTTCATATCTAATTTCTTTTTTTGCCCAAACAGGTTCCATTGCTCTTATACAGTGAATTAATGAGACTATAAAGCTATACAGTCATATTTTTCTGTGACTTATAGATGAGGTACCTGTGGTAAAGACACAGATCCCACCTTCTGGGAATCCTAAAATCTCATCACCTAAGAATCAGATCCTGTTGGGCAGAGGTGGTGCACACTTTTAATCCCAGCCCCTGGGAGGCAGAGGCAGCTGGATCTCTGAGTTCAAGGTCAGGCTGGTCTACAGAGTGAGTTCTAGGACAGGACCCAAAGCTATACACAGAGAAACCCTGTCTCGAAAAACAAAACAAAAAGTAAATAAATAAAATTCAATTAAAAAAAGTCAGATCCTAAAAATAACTTAGTGGCTTGACTAAGGAACTCTGTGTATGACAGGGTGTGTGTACACCGTCCAACAGACATTCCTTCCATTACTGTCGCCATCACCAGAAGTCAGTGATGACCGCCACAAAAGACAAGGACTTCTGAATCAATTCATTCCTTCTGTTTTCCAGAGCAGGAGAGTGCAGAAGGTGGAAGCTGAAATGGTCCTTAGCAAAGACAGGGACATCTGCTGCTTGCAGAAGCTCAAGTGGGAAAGATTTGGCTTAAAAGGAGAGAACACACCCAGCCAAGCAAGAGGCCTTGGCTTGATCCTCATCACCAACAAACCCAGAGATATCTTTCAGAAAATTATCCAAAAATGAAAACAATTTTAGTTTTATGAGCTTAGTCCACCCACCCACACACACGCATGCAAAGTATCTGAGAAGGAGTTCAAGCCAGAAGAGATCACGGGGTAGGAGCCTGGTTTCATTCACAATGCTAGTTACTTACCTAAAAACCAATAGAGGAGTTTTAAAAACAAAATGCAGATGTTAAAACATCACAGAATGATATAAAACTATGAGTTCTGGCTAAAGATCATCTTTGCCTTTTCTTTTTTCCTTACTTAAGCTACTTCCTTACTTAAGCTACTTAATTTCTGCTACTGGCAATATTAGCAAAACACCATGGATGGGCCACCAGCAGTTACTTCTTATTTATCTACATCATGCACACAGGCAAGAATCATTCTCTTTGGTTACATTCTGAACTAAGCGAAGGACAGGCAAAGAGACTTGCCTAAAAGCACACACAGTGAAGGTGGGAGCTAGGTTCAATTCAAATGCTCCTCCTCTGGCTTCAACTCTACTGTCTTTTCTCCATAAAAAAAAATCATTCCTTTCATGAAACGGGAGCCCAAAAGATCCTCGAGTTCAAAATGCTCTCTTTTTTTTGGATGAAGAAATGAATGTTGGGGCAAGAGTAGCATGGTGAGGACATAGCTTAACCCAGAGGCCTGCTCACTCCTGACAGACCCAGTTCAGTTCTCTTTCCGATAGACACTTTCTCTCCAAAACACAGCCTACATTCTCCACAGTCACAAAACACTGTCGCAAAACAAAACACTGTCAAACTTCTTCAAGTCAACTCAAAATTATTTCTGAAAGAGAAGCACAGAGGTGTGCGTTAGCTGAGCAAGCAAGGCTTTGTCCACTGTGGGGCAGAGGCGCTGTGCTGACGACACAGGAAGAGCTCCCATTCAATACAGAAAAACCTGTACCAGGCAAGTCCTTTACTGCGTTAAAAAATGATTAATTCACCACTGGCTAGCATAATTTGCCAACTTCAAGAAAGCCTATAGACTCATGCCGGCACTGGGCAGCAGACTGCTGACTACAAACACTGATGCAATTTTAAGTTGTACCAGAAAGAAACCACTCTCTCGTCTGGACAGCAGAGGGAGGAGAGAAGGGCAGACTGAGGGAGACAGCACAAGGTGGGCTATGCAGAACAGACACCTGGAGCAACAGCAGGAAGGAGGTGTAGTTGAGACGCTAGGGACAACCTGTGACAGTCTCAGCTGGCCAGCCTGTGGGAGAACAACCCTGGCAAATCCAAGCCAGACCCAGGGACTACCTCCAGAAATTAACAAAAGCTATTTCATCCTTTGCCTTGTAACAGACATAAAAAATATTTAAAAAAAAAAAGTCAAATTAACCAAATCTTGATAAGGACAACCATCAAAAATGAACATGGGGCTTAGGAACTAAAACAGATGCTGCCAACATCCAAACCTATTTTATAAGGCAAATGAAACCCCATCCAACCCCATCCTCCCAACATGGATGCCTGAGCATCATTGGCGATGTGGATTTAACGAGCGAATCAATCTGCTTACCAGAAACTATGACAGAAATGGGATTTATGAGCAGTCAGTGAACTGACCGCTCACTTCCTCATCTCAGCCAACTGCTGTCCTGTTTCCTCATCAAACATTCTCCTTACACCCCCACCACAGGGAGGGATGATTAAATGTCAGCCCCAACAAAAACAGCTAATGCATGGCACAACCAAATATATTTTTATGCTTTTGAGAAAGATTAATAGTAGCTGGTGATGGCCTGCCAACGGCAGATGTACAAACTTCCCATTCTACACATAAATCAAGCACAGGGTGTGTGACATACTTTACAGACTGTCGCTGTTACAGTGATTTTAAATTACTCAGGTTGTAGAGTAAACCATGTAGATGTTGACTAATGAGGCAATATATTCTGGATCTTTCCATATGAATGTTATAAAATGTAATAGCATCAACGGAAAGACAGTCCTAGGAATTAAAATACACTTAGTTAACAAGAAGGGGTATATATTTTTCTATAATCAACTCTTTGCAATTTTAGGCAAGTACATTATGAGTTGAGTTAGTAGGATTATCATAAAGCTATTTTTTGGTACCCTTACAAGTGAATCTAATGATGGAAAAGGCCAGTGCACGATACACTCAATAGAAAAGAAGGATTAAAATAGCTCAGAGAGGAGACTGGCTGTAAAACGCACAGGAGGTGGATCAGAGAGATGCCTGCTGGACCAGCCAAACACATAAGTATGCAAAGTCAACACTGTTCATAGGTAAGTTGGCAGAGCCCTGGACTAGGGACAGTAGAACCAGAAGTGGGGTGAACAGTTCGGTTCTATTAGTAGCTGCCACTTTCCCACATCCCATGGGACTGGTAAAGATCAGATGAGAGATGCACACATGTATGAGAGCACACTCACCAGTTTGTCTACATGAACCAAAGTCACTTGGAACCAGAAGAGACCTCAAAATGTACTGGAGTGTTGAGCCAAGTCAGTCTGCACGATGGTTTTAGATTTTAGACAGGGACTCACTGTGTTTTTCTGGCTGTCCTAGAACTCACAGAGATCCACCTGCCTCTGCCTACCAAGTACTGTGATCAAAGGTGTGCGCCACCACACCAAGCTTGCACGATGGTTTTGATGAAGTTAGAAGAACACTTTAACCAACTCAACAGTTGTGCTGTGTTCTGGATTTCCTCTGATGACCCTCATCACTTTGATTACACAATGCACAGCTTCAAGTGAGCACCCGTGTTATAAGGAAACCACATTTGGTAACTGATCCTTTCCAAGCGCTCAACTATAATAAGTATAAAATGTTAGGCTGGGGAGGACCCGGAGAACCATCAGCGAGCTACAACTAGTTACAAGTTCTCAGTCCAGGAGTGAGACATTTCAATACTGAGTATTTCTTAATTTGAAAATAATGGATACTGGGAGTGTGGCTGAGGAAGAAAATGGGAGGCTTAGGCAAGGAGAAAGAAAGAAGGAAGCTTAATGTCGAGATGAAGATGATGTGAGTTTTACAGCATCACTCTGAAATGAGTCAGGCGTGCTAATGCTAGGGCTAACAGACAACAACGCGCAGATGTGCGTGCTCACTTACTATGTTCCCTGAAAAGAGAAAGAACGAAAATAAAAGTATAAAATAATGGCTCATGACAATAGTTAATAATACCAACAGTGAGAAATACAATCACAGTCCTGGTTGATAGACAGGAGAAATGCTGTAGATGTGCCAGAGGGTAATTTAGACAGTGAGACAGAGAACTCCCTAGGGAGAACTCTGTGAGAAACTGAGCCAGGGGACTAGAAAGGTACTGAGGCAGGAAAGGACAAAGCCAGTGTGGCTACAATCCAGAGGAAGCAGCAGAACAACAGTAAGAACTGAGGCTGGGAGAATGGCCTCAGGAGCACATGGTCCAGCCTCTGTGGCCAGGGCCAGGAGTCTTATGAGAGAAATCTTCCTTGCTTTTAAGAGACAAATCTTTCTTATTTTTAAAAGACACGGGATCCATTTGACAGAGCCACTCTAATTTTGTGTATGCAAAAGAATATATAAATTTGATTGTGAAGAGTGTTCAATATTCAACCCACAGATATTTGCCAAGTATTTTCAAGTAAGTAAGTGAAAGTGATCTAGGCTTGGGGGTGTGGCCTGCCGGCACACTGCTTGCCTATCATGCTGAAGGCCCGGAGTTCAACTTTCAGTGTCTCAGAAAGGAGAAAAAGAACAACAAATCTTTAACCGAAGAAACAAAACACCGCCGGGTAGTTGAAGACTAGTAAGCCAACTGACGCACCTCAGATTCCAAAAGCAAAGAACAAAATCGTACCTCCTCGCTGCACCAACAGTGTGACCTCACTTCCCTTTGGACATTCGATCAGCATGTCCACGACTTGGTTGTGTGTCAGGGCCTGCACGTTCTTCTTATTCACTTCCACGATAAGATCCCCTTCCTTGAGGCCCCTGCAGCGGGGACTGTCAACAATCTGTTTCACTCTTTGGCCGCCACCACCGGGACTATCGGCAATGGTAAAGCCAAAGCCCATTGGCCCTTTGACTATGTGAACAGTTATCAGCTCCGGCTGCGTGGCTATGGAAGAAGCCAAAGAGACTGTGTCATTGGGATAACCATAAGAACTGTTGGAAGCCACGTCGGCAGGGCTGCTTGGCCTGGCATCCTTCATGCTGCTGACTTTGCCCGTTTTACTACTGTGGCTTGCTGGTGAATCATAGGTCTCTTGTCCATTCACAATAATTGGTTCTTTGTCCAAAATGGCCACCGAGGTCACTAAACTTGTATTGGGGTCATCTGGGTCAAAAGGCAATGGATAACCTCTGCAGAGTTCAAGGTCCACACTGGCACCAATAGGAATGGACTGGAAGATTTTTACAACTTGAGCATGTGTGTGTCCCAAAACACAGGTGTCATTCACGCTGACAATCACATCTCCTGTAAGAGGCAAGAGTTTGCAGGTCAAACACCAGCACCAAAAAAGGTTGCGACAGTCAACATTCTCTTAATGTTTAGAACCTACTACCTGAAACTCGTCACTATAGGCCTGTTTGGAGCCAAAGATGCTTGAAAGAGGAACTCTATTTTATTCCTCCAGAGAACTCCGCATAGACAATGTTCTTCCCACATGAGAAGTAGCATTCTTACTTCGGCATATCCTGGTTACTACGGATAAGAAACCAACCCTAGGAGAAGTTGATGCACACTGACCTTGTTAAACCATATGTGACTTCCCAGTCACCTCTCTCCTTTTCTACTGACTTCACTGCTCTAGCCCAAGCCCGTGTGCCCTTGTCACATTCTTATAACCTAGTCTGTTCACTGTGCCTCGTGCTAAACATCATCTTTGGGTTTCTGTTTACTTTTGAGGGTCCTGTGTCACATCTGACTCATCCTTTGTGTTTAGGGAGGCGGTTTCAGAGTCAAGGTCTCGCTCTGCAGCTCCATAGCTATCTGAGTGCCGGCATTACAAACCAGCACCATTAGACCTGGTTTTAAAGACATCTTACACGGACGTATATGCTTTCCTCTTGTTGACCAACCCTTTCGAAATTTTATTTCTTCTGTTCCTTCAATATGAATCTGAATGAAACAGGGTGGGGGTGGAGCGACCACCTGCCAAAACCAGATTGGCTATTTTAACTGATAATAAAGCATTCTTTTACCATCTAATGTCTTCTGAGCTAAATGACAATATAATAATCCATGAAAGAACACTGGAGTTCTAAGTTTAAAATTCATTTATTCAAATGGATCTACATTTTTAGTAAATTACTGCTTTACCATATGCAATAGCATTGTAACAGGTTTCTAAAGTCAAAGAAGTTTCAAAGGTTTTCATCTAGACTAGGGGTAGGAGGTGCTGTAAGAGAGGGATCTAGCTCATTGCAAGGTATATAAAGGACACACATAAAGGAATCATGATGCTGTCTGCCCTTGTTCAGATGTGGGTAGAGGCCTTACCACATGGGACATGCTATGGCCATGTGAACTCACCTGTCTCCATCTTCCCGTCCAGGGCAGCAGGACCATCTAGGACGAGGCTCTTGATCTGCAGGAACTCATCAGGTTCGTCCCCTCCAACCACTGTGAAGCCAAAGCCACGACTGCTTTTCCGTAGCTTCGTGTGAATGAATTTGCCTTTCAACTCAGAAGGGTTTCTTGTAAAAAAAGGTTTGCCTGGTTTAGATTAGAAGGAGAGAAACACAAGGAAATTCACTGTGAGTATACCTGTGAAGGAGCCAAGGATGCTATAAGACAATGCAGACAGCTCTTCAAGAGCATGGCTTGAAGCTATGGATACAGATGGGGCCTCTTTGGGACCAGAGAGATGACTAGTAGTTAAGAGCACTTGCTGCCCTTCCTGGGTACCCAAGTTTGGTTTTCAGCATCACATCAGGTAGTTCACAACCGCTGTAAGTCCAACGCTAGGGAATCTGACAGCCTCTTCTGTTCCCTATGGGCACCTGCACGTACATGAAGTGTCTATGCACATGTACATAAATATATTTTAAAACTCTTTTCTTGATTGTAGGAATGAAGATGCTCCTGTACACTCTGTTCAGGAGGTGGATGTCATAGTCATATTGTCATACATAGAGAATATCTTTCTTTCAAGATAGGGTTTCATGTAACCCAAGCTAGCCTCCAGCCTCTTGTACAGACAGACACAGATGACGTTGAACTTCTGATCGTCCTGCCTCCACCTCCCAAGTGCTAGCTTAGAGGTGTGCAGTACAGAGATCCGAACTCGTGTGTCAGAAACACAGGGCATTCTCTCAGTTACAGCTCAATCTCAGGCATGTCATCCTCCAGGTCCAAAAGAAAAGGGAAGAAGACAAAAGCCAGTCTCAGGATTATGACATTCTTCCTCAATTACAGCCTAGTTTACAGCTACTGGGCCGCCACAGCCTCCTTAAAGGAAGCAGCTGGTCTCTGCTTTGTACCATGGTTTTCTTTTCTATTTTGCAGTGTTCACTATAATGTGCTACCATGGACATGGCTTCTATGCACAGGACCACCTGAACAGAAACTTTAGCTTTAGTTTTTAACCACACTGTGGGTCAGAAGATTACAAGAGGTGCCCTTCAACCATTTAGGCTATTGGCAGTGACCTTGACTGACTCCCAGAACTTTAAGGTAGGCCCCTACTGCTGAAGACAATACTTGCTTTGGTCATAGGACTTCAAAGAATGGAGCTGGAAGTGACCTGGAAGAGCACCCTCTGAGGACTGGCTTTCAAAGTATCTGAAGGCGCTATACAAGCTGCCAAGGGAGACAAGTGGTCACTAATCCTGCCTAGCTGTGAAGCCTATGAACCACAACAATGACTAGCCTGGCAAGATATCCCCAATGGTGATGGTGGCACTTTTATCTTGTGTGTATTGAACAAACTGTCTTTTTGGATTTAAGACACATTCAATAGGAGGAATCCATGCCAGCTACTGTCACCTAGCCAACTTCCTAATGGCTGATTAGATCACAGACCCTGAAGGAGAACCCACCATTGTTATCTTCCTAAGCCAATAATTTCTAACTATATTCTAAGTACTTATCCTTATGTACAGAGAAACTATAGCTCTTTCCACTCACCAATTTTAGCCACAGATTGAGACTATTAGAGAAATCAAATCCACAACTGGTCAAAATGCAGGGAATAAATGACCTTGGGATTCCTAGTTCCAACAGATATATCTACAACACAACCTCTATACCCAAGGTTCAGTGACTATCAGGGAAGAGGAGCAGAGATGACCAAGACCCCTAATGCTGATGAGTGCTTTCGGTTTATGGCAGTAAGTTACACTTGTGAAATCTCAACAATACGGTTGCCTAAACAAGATGGACACATTGACAACACCAGCTAACATGCAAATGTGATACAGGAAATTCTGAAAGGCCTTCTTTTAGGGCTACAGGTAATCAATGGTTGTAGAGAGAAGTGGGGAGAGGAAAAAGAAGGTGGAGGAAAAGAAAGGCTCAGTGTTCTTCAAGTACAAGCTCTTGGTAAGTTATCCAATCCCAAATGGTCAGTCTTTTAAACAAGTGTACATATAAGTAACACTAAATGGACTCAATAGGTTGTGTCTATGTGTGTATATATGTAATAATAATGATGATGACAATAATAATAAAAGAAGAAGAGGTCATGAATTTGAGAAGTAGTTGGGGACATGGGAGGAAATGGAGGGGGACAGGAAGGCGGAATGGAAATGATTTAGATAGAATACTCATGTATGACAATCTCAAAATAAAATTAAACAAAAAAGTAGCATTTCAGAACTAATTCACAAAGTAGTATTCAGGGCTCACTAAGTCCTTCTCTGCATCCAAGAAGCTTGTTGGAATTTCTCGGGTTATCCCAAGCAGCAGCCATCTGCTTCGTTCCTAATTTCATTTGCTATATTCTGCCCTTGCTACACCCTCCTCATCTGCTCTATTTCTTTTCTATCGAAATACATTCTTTTAAGAGGGAGAAAAAGAAGCTACCCCATGCCTCTGCACTTAGCAGCCTTGGCAGCCAGTTAGAAAAGTTATTTTTGGTTAGCTATAACTAAAAGGCTTAAAAAGGTCTCTGGGCACACACACAAATTTTAATTGCATATTTTAAAAAGTCTCTGGCTTTTACAAAGAAGGCTCCTTCAAATGGGCTATAGTCAGAGGTCCGCTCACAAACCTCTCCAGTACAGTCAGTCCAAGGCTTATTGGAAACTCAACAAATGGCAGCCCTGGAACTGTGGTTAAAGAGAGGCAAGATTTGGCAGGATTTGTCAGGCACAGTCATTTGCCAAGGTGTGGGGAGAAGGATGGCACCTCCAGCAAAGACTTCTGGGAGACAGCTCCCAGGGCAATTACTGGGTAAAAAGTCGAAGACAGGGAAAATAGGCTCTGAGTTTCACTTTGGGCTGTGGAAGTCAAATGGCCTAGGTCTTACAGAAGAGGCTGACAGGACTCTAGAGAGCTTGAGGGGTACACATTTTAGGTGGGCAGAGACCTCAACAGCTAATGACTTCTCAGTGAGACTTTCACGGACAACATTATTAAACAGTGCAATGTCTCTGCAATATTTCTAGGCCCCCTTTCCCGCTTCATTTTTGTCCTTAGAGTTGACTGCTCTAACACAGTACACATCTCACTAGCTGGCTTGGTTTCCTGTGTCCCTGCTGAAGAAGCACTACGCATGCACTAAACTCAGTAGACTATACGCTCCAGGGCTCCAGGGAGACTCACTTGCAGATTCGAGGCTTAGAATCTGAATACTGTGATACGTAGGAGGCGCTCTAACAATTTCTGTTTAAGGACTGAATGGCTAAAGAGGAATACAATGAACAGATTCAGCAAGATCCTGAGACTGCTGAAAAGAAGTGACCAGGTATTTGGTAACTTTGCTTTTGCCCATAGGCAAAGTTAGAAGATGTGAAAATGTACCACATAGCTTATCTGAATTTTAACTACAGAGACAACATCAGAATTTTGTATTAATGCACATTCTATTATGTTTTAAGTATGGGTGGTTCATAGGTTAGAAATTATTTTCTCTCACAAGAAGGGAGATTTGATACTCTTGGTTGCTGCTCTGTGGTCTATGCCTTCTGGTGAGACACTAACTTCTTGGTTGTGTATCTGCAAACTCATCCGAATGTCTGTTAAAAACATACTCATATTAGTCCTTACCCTATGACCACTGAATGAGGATCTTTTGGGTTGGGTTCAGAACTCTACCCTTGAACTACCCTTAAGTATTGTCTGCCAGGTCAGAACTACACTAGGGTGTGGTACTTGGATTCTCTACACTGGAAGCTTCTACCATCACCTAGTGCAGCACTGGGAATACTGAGTAGTTACTCCGATCTATATGGCAGCCACTAGACCATGTAAGGAGATATCAAAGCCTTGACATAAGGCTAATGGCCAAAAAATTTCAATTTTAATTTTTCTCAGTTGCAGCTAATTTAAACCTAAATTAATATGTAACCAGTGATGCTGTACTAAATAGTAGAGTTTAACTAATGAAATAAAGTACCCCACAAAAGTAAAATGATAAAAAGTTATGAGCCAGAAGTTCATTTATTCCTAATGACAACGGCATTTATATACATATGTTCTACTACTTTGTGGCAACCCTCTCTAAAGAGAGACAGAGATGGTACCAATTTCACATAAGGGTTATTAAGAACAACCAAATGATCATGGATATGAAGGACTTAGAGGGGGAACCTGGTATGCAATATGGTTCAATAAATCAGTCATCATGGAGCTAGAAGATGGGTCCAGTGGGAAGAAGAAGCTACAGAAGTCCATCCCCAAACCCAATCTGGAAACCGGAGTTTTCCAAGAACACATCTACAAAATGACCAGTTGCTGGGAAGTAAAGTCAGTCACGGGAGAGTTTGGTTTAAAAATTAACAACCAAGTCAAGTTGCAAGATGACTTCTTGATCTACCATCACAAAGATAATGTGCAAAACTAGGATGTGTGAGCGGCAGGCTGGTAACCTGGTCATAAACCACGAGACTAAAGTCTAAACATTTATTACACTCCCGGCTTAGAGAGAATGAGACCAGGTGTCAATGTGTTTCTTTGGTGTTAGTTATACTCCAAAGACTGTGTCTGTGGGATGAGGCTCAACACGAAGGTCTCACTGTAGGTTGGCTATGAGAATGGCTAAATCTGTGTAGAATTCAGTGGACCTGGACTGTCTCAGCCCACTGTCAGGTTAAACAGGACTAAAGAAAATAAAGAAAAAGAATCAAAAGTCCACGAGTATGGCTCATTGGTCGAGCAGCTGCCTGAGACACCATGGATCTGGGCATCATGGTTCTCGCCTTTAATACCAGCACAGAGGAGGCAGACAGGAGGATCTCTGTGAGTTTGAGGCCAGTCTAGTGTATACAGCTAGTTCCAAGCCATCCAGAGCTATATAGTAAGAACATGCCTCAAACAAACAAAACCAAAATGCAGGGAGACTCTGAGATGAAACACACGGACAAATGTGGTCTTAGTTGTGCTTTAAGCACATGGTAATCCATGTCCTGTACCTTTCCATCTTTAGTGTATTTCATCTCTTAAAACAATTCTTTTTAAGAACATGAGCCAACACTCCACAAAAATATATACATGTATGCATATATACACACTGTTTCATTCAATAATACTGTAATTTCAACAGAACATACCTATCAAGGGGTTCTACCTGATTGGGGATTAACAAAACAAACAAACAAACAAACAAACTCCTAGTCTCATGCCTCCATGGATTTACTGAAGAAAGTACTGTGAGATGACACAGCACCAATGAACACTAATTACACTGTTAAGCTCCATAAATGACAAGCACAGGAAAGTGAAGAATGAATGACAGGAAGCAAGAGTAAGTCAAAGAGTGGGAGGACAAGACAATGGCAGAGAGGTCCGAGTCTATGTAACTCTTTAAAGTGGCCCATGGTGTGGCTGGTTCAGGGCATTTCAACAAGACTGGTACAACTCTATTACTATGAGAGAGGCGAAGCAAGGTGACGTGAGCCAAAGAAAAGATCTTCTATTCCAAGAAATGCTGAGGACACTACAGCAATGATGGTATTAATTAAGTTATTATAGACTACAGTCTATCTTTAGGAAACCATTATCATAATAAGACATAGTTGTGTTCTCAGAGATATTAATAATGATCTAATGATGACATCAACTACTAGACACAACTTCCCACTGGTTTCATGGCTCCGTACTACCAACATTCCATTGTTGCGCAGCACTATCCAATGTAGTTCTGCTTTTCTTATTTGAAAACAAACAAACAAATGAAAAACAAAAACAAGCAATCCCAGACAAGCTGCCTCTCTTCCATCACTGAGGACTAATAAGGCCTGACTACAGCAAGGCTCAAGAACCCAAATTACGAATGATCCTTTCTAAGAGGCTACAAGTATAAAGAAACATAAGACCCATGCAAATGCTGTAGGACACACCAAAATAAAGTAGCAGCAGGGCAGGACTTTTAAGATAAAGTTATCTACACTTAGAAGAAAATATTAGTCAAAAGCAAATGTGTTGCCTGGAACCTCAAAATATCTAATACCAGTTTAAAAAATATTGTGCTCTCTGAATCACTCATTCCCAACCCTGGGATGGTTCTGCTCCTGAGAGGCATCTAACAACATCTGGGCATCTTTCAGATTATCATGGTACCAGTAGGAGGTGGGTGTATGCTCCTGAAGTCAAGTGGATAGTGATAGTTCCAAACATCCCACTTAACTAAGTGCTGAAGACAGTCTCCTTTACAAAGAATTATCTAGCCAGAAGTGTCGAGAACACTGATGCTTAGGAATCACCAAACCTCATTTTTATTTTTATTTTCTTTGGTTTTTCGAAACAGGGTTTCTCTGTGTCCCGGCCAGAGCTGTCCTGGAATTAGTTCTCGTAGACCAGGTTGGTCTCACAGAGCTCTGCCTGCCTCTGCCTCCCGAGTGCTGGGATTAGAGGTGTGAGTCACCAACGCCCGGCTGCAAACCTCATTTTTAAAAGGAGAGTTTAGGACTAGCAAGATAGCTTGGCAAAGGTGCTTCATGCCAAGTCTGACAAGCAGAGTTTGAGCCACAGGCCCCAGGTGGTACAAGAGAGAACTAATTTGTTCAAGCTGCACTTTGACCTCCACACATGTTATGTGGCATGAGTATGGGGGTGGCACACACATAATCATACACACACACACACACACACACACACACACACACACACACACTCAATCAATGTAATGAAGAAATTAAACAGTGAGACTCTAGAGCTCCAACTACCATGCAATCAAAACCCCACATTACCCTGAAGTGGAGCTTCCCTGGCTGGCTCCGGATTGCTCTGGGCATGGGAGGGAGCGACAGGAGGCACAAGGGATGCGTGATCTTCTGTCCATTCTACAAGAAAGAAAAGAAGCAATTTCCTGGGTTGTCTCTCAACAGCTGCACCATTTATCTTCTCAGTAAAAGTCAAAGCAGTGAACCAATAGCAGGTGGTGAGCAAGAGAAGCAGCTGACCGACCTCCCTTTGTGGTGAAGATGGCAAGATCTTTCTCTCTCATGTCTGATCTTTAGGTAAGGAAATACGACATAACTGGTAAAAATTCAACGTTAGAGGCTTTAAGTGAAAACAAGTGTTTTTTGTATTGTTTTCTTTTTCTTTCTTTCCCTTTTTTTTTTTTATAAAGTATAAATTCACCTGAAGGTAGCCACATGTGAAAGAACCTTCTACAGGCTCAATGAGGGGTCGGCTGGTCTGCTGAACCTGCCTGTCCCGCATGGTGAGTTGGATGAAAATACATGCATGACACCATTTAGCTGAGATGCAAACTTCTGTTGTCTCTGAAGCCCAAAGGAAAGCCACTGCCAGATCCTAAGTCTAATCTCAAGAACGTTGGAGGCCAAGGGACACCTTGCAGTGAATGATCCTAGAGATGGACCTCAGTCACCTTCCCTCAGCTGACACATCCCACTGAATGCATCCATGGCTCAAAACACATTTTCTGAGACTATTGTGTTTTATCATCTCAAGAAAAAATAAATTAAAACTATTCTTAAATTAAAAAGCAGATTAAGGCAGAGGATTTTCAGCTGGCAAGCAGGCTCCCTCTCCACACATCGTTAAGGGTAGCAGGTGTAAACCATGGCTTATCAGCTAAATTGAGCTCAACGGCTACTTCTGTATAAACACAAGGCGTGAACATCTTTCACATTTTTAAAGGCTTAAAATTGAGTATTTTCTGCTACATAAAAATTATGAGATTCACATTAGTGCTCATGAATGAAGCTTTATTGACCCACAGATATGCCTATTATATTCGCTGTTTTCATATTATAAAGGTGAGTAGTTATTATGGGAACTAAATGTCTCATTAATCCTAAAACATTTGTGATATGGCCACTTATAGAAACATTTGGCTAGCCCTATAGTTCAAGGTCTATATTTGATTATGTTCAGGGGCTAGGAGTGTGGCTCAACAGCTGAGTAGGTGTTTGGCATGCATGATGTTCTGAGTTCAATTTCCAGCACCATATGCATATATATATTTTATGTTCAGTATTGTAGGAACATGTGTTATACTTCATATTCACATAATTGATAATCATACATTATATTTAGAGGGTATAAATGTATCAATTTAAATTATAATGAAAAATTAGGAAAAATCCTAAGTATTAATAAATGAATGGTTACATACTAGTAGAAACACTCATTAAATGACACATTATTCAGCTATTTAAACTATGAGTTAACTATAATAAACCTTCAAGCAGATCTAAGAAACAAAAAGTGGGGGAAAAAACCCCAACAAGTTGCTCGAATATACCTGGGATATATTTATCTACAAATTTATCTTGGCTTTACTATTTCCAATTTGTATATACCAGAAAATTTCCGCACAGTGAACATCTGAGAATGGGTTGGGGCAGGCACTGGGAAATGTAATGCTGAGTTCTGTTCCTGGGTTGTTTTCATTTCTATAACGAATATGAATTCATAACTTCCGAGAAGCACTCAGGATTACCAGCTCTGATCCCTCTGTGCATGGTTTCCAATATGAAAAAGGAGTCCAGCGCCCAAAGGCTCCGCTGGAAGTCAGAATGCTACAGGGGCACTGGATTTAGACAAGGATTGCCATGCAAATGTGGCAGGGGACCCGAATTTCCTCACCGCCCAGCCAGCTCTGCAGGCTAAGCTCCCTTCTAAGGCAAAGTTTAGGTCTGAGAGCCGGTGCGGGTGTCCCCTTCAGCAGCATGCTCCAGTGCTATGGGAGGAGGGGCAGCCAGAGGAGAAAGTTGGTCATCAAGGCCAGCTCTGACCACACGGGGGTGTCAGTGCCTAGGTTTCGCCCCACATTCCCAGCTCAGGCAAAAGCCTCCAGCAAAGAAGCCGACCTTCTGGCTGTGGTGGTTGAGGCTGAGGCTGCTGCTGCTGCTGCTGTTCAAGCTGTTTCTTCCTTTTGGCTTCTAGGACTGGGTTTTCATACTGTGTCTTCCTGTTGATGTGGCTGGGAAGGAAGGAAAGCAGTTTTCAGGTAGGAAATACTCATTTCAGCAGCTAAAAGCTGAGAAAGCCCTTTGGTTGGAATGGAGCAACACAGAGGGTCTGGCGTGGATATGCAGATAAGAAGCAATAAACACGGTTTCCATTACTGGCTGCTTATGTGCACTAAGAACTAGAGTGTCAGTTGGGAATGCATCTTATTAGAAATTCCTAGCAAATGTCCTAAGGCAAATTGTTTTCTTATTCGTGCAGCAGAAATTCCTTGTATATAGGGGATGTGCTCTGAGACCCTCAACGGACACTAGAGCCCAGGATAACACCCAGTTCTATATAAACTGGAATTTTCCTCTGCATCTGTACACACCTATGGTGAAGTTTAATTTACAAAACAATCGCAGGAAAAAGACTAACCACAACAATTTACCAGAGCCTCCAGCAGTCTCCACAGGTCATTTCTTTTCTTTCCTAAGTCACTTAAAGAAGTTCTTCCCCACCCCTTTAGCATGTTCCAACTGCCTTTGTGCTCAGGGTTCACCATGAAGTAAAGCAAGGGACATGTGAACACAGCATATGATACTGTGCAGCTGACCTGGTGACTGAGATGGCCATCAATTGATTAACATGCAGACAGTGCAGAAAGCACGGATGTGCCAGACATGCATCATGACCTGGTCTTCATGGAGCAGCAAGGACGGAGAACTTGTCATACCCAGAATCACACTCAACTAGATAGAGCTATTTCAAACCTTGAGTGGGTGAGACCACAGAAGCGCACCATGTATGTAGGGACATGATCACGATGGCATTTTGTGGGGAAGGGAGGCAGCCTCTGACAGTATGAGCTAGCATGCTCACTCAGCTATGGCTGCTTTGGAATTCTAGGACTTGAGTCAGTGACTCTACCCAAAATTTCAAGCTATCACCTGAGATGAGAGGTACTTAAATTCAGAAGCACATTTGGAATTAATTAAGATTAAACTGGGGCTTTGAAGTGATCTGTGGCACACTATGGTAGAACTCTTGAATGGCTTTAAACAGCAGGGTTTATAGAAGCCTAAGAATAAAGTTTAAAAAACTCCACTAACATATTTCAACCATGTTAATTGACTGACAAAGAGAAAAGACTGAAATTCCAGCCTGTAAACAAATATACTACAGAGCTGCCATATATGGGCTGCCCACGCATGCGTCAGCATTGCCAGGGCATAAATCTCATTTTTTTTTCATTCAAACAAAGATACTCCATAGATAGCCAAACTAAGCAAATGTGATGTGTTCAAAGTGAAAAAAGCCTAGACATTTTAGATGATTATGTAACTAATAAGGCTAGGGTGCACACACACATGCATGCATCTCTTTTGAATGATAGCCTTATTTAGTTTGTATTTATGCTAAGTACACATAAACATACATATACAGATGGTTTCATATGTATGTATGTATATACCTTTTAAGCCAAAACAACAATTCACCAGAAGCTTGGGGACATTCCTATTATTTAAAACATCAACTATCTCTTTTGAAATTCAGACTTAATTTTCAAAAAAGGGTTTATCAAGTAGGGTGGGCAGATTATCTTTAATTCTTATTAAAAGGATATTTGCATCATGATTCCTTTGGAACAGGCATTAAAAGACGCAGAACCAGATCTGAGTAAGCTATCATCTTATCCCCAGGGCTAGGTTTCTTTTCCCTTCAAGGCAGTGTCCAGCGGCTTCTTTTCTTCCTAAATACACCAGGCAGCCGAGTGCCAAAGAAAGCCCAGACTCACCTGGCAGAAGACTATTCACCTGTATAAAAGAGCTTCGGAGCTCAGGGAGGAAATGTATTTTATTAGGATCAATAAAAATGGCTTTGCTTGTGTCTCTGATGACGATACTTCTTCTGTTCTGCAGAGGGAAGCAGGACTTGTACTGGTCAAGGGCACTTTCTTTACTGAACTCCTATAATTGCTTCACAATAAAATGCTGGCATCTCATTGAGGCCTGACATTTTTGTATAATATGCTCCTATTATAGGGGCATTATACAAGTGACTTTTTATTGCCAGCAACATGAGAAAGAGAAAGAAGACCTTTTATCTTCACCGTGGCAGGAAGGATAATGGTGATACAAAATTTATATGGCACTTGCCTCGTTCAAAGGAACTGTATTAGTTATCTCTCATTTTCCTCAGAGGAAAAGATACACTTTATATGTTTTTAGTATTCTACCTCTTGGTTATTTTTAAAATTTATTTCCAGTATCCTGCTAATCAATAGTTTAGTAAAATGACAAAGGACATGTCCAGTGATAGAATAAAGCCCATAGTGAAGAGATCACACTAAGAGGCGAGACTCCTGGGGACAGACCAAGGGGACAGATTAACAGGTCCTGCATCTCATCCCAGTTTTCCATTTCCTTCTTACTCTTGGCAACATTTCATAAATTATTAAGACGTGTCTAACGCTTTTAGAAAGGCAGAATGAATAAATAAGTAATCACTGTGAAGTTCAGATAGGCATGAAAGAAGTAGGGCAGTAAGGCCCCTCTGAGAACGCACAAGCTCTTTCACGGGCTTTCCCATATCCCGGCCTTCAGCTAACTCTCACAGAGCACCCGCCATACACACTGGGTCTCGGTGATGTGGAAGCTAACAAAAGTCACACGGGTTGACACCCTTCCTGAATTTCTTCAGATTCAGGGATGACTTATTCACTAAATTCTTCCTATTTTCATTATAAAGTCATTACTATTACTTTGAAACTTGTACCAATGCCAAGATACGTTTAGCACCATGCACGTAAGTGCACAGTGGTGTAAAAACTGGTATGTGGATTATCCATGGGCACTTACTCTACATAGTAGACACCGTAGACAGGGTCCTCAATCTTTTCCCAGCCAGCAGGCAGCTCTGAAAAAACAAAAGAACATCAGAACAAGAAGAGCTTATTCTTGAGGAGCCAGGAGCTCAACAACTGACTTATTCAAAGGGGAGTGATGCGTACGAACACCTTGAACCGAATTAAAACAATATTCTACCACGAAGAAGCATGCATTATTTTTATTTTGCTCGGTGTACTTTTCTACATGAAAAAAAAAACCAATTCTTTATCTACTGGTATTTTACTTATGAAAATAAAACTTAATAAAATGCATTCCCAGCTGCCTTCATTATCAGCCAAGTATAAAATTAGATTTTAATAGAAACACTTAAAACGTGCCCTGAATGGCTACTTCTTACCTTAAGTATCTATAGTTTGCTCATTGTTTCCAGACTACCTGGCTACACAAGCAAAAACACATAAAAAATGACTTTCTTTTCCTTTTCAACTCAATGGTTTCATTTTGCTTTCCTTGAAGGAAAATTAAACCTACATCTTATTTTCTCCTTGTTCTTATTTAACACTACTGAATGAATGAAAATGATGGGGAGCTGGGTGCCTGACACACACACTCTGAGACTCTGAGATTCTTCTATGTGGTTCAGTCTGTCTTTCCAGAACTTGATTTATGAAGACAACACAGACAGTGTTGTGTGTGAGCGAGTATTATTTTTTGGATGTCCTCCTAGTGAGGGGTGTCAGGCCCGTCTGACACTTGCAATTTTTGCCCTTTGCTGCTGGAACACTGGGATTGTAGGCATGGACTAACAGCTGACTTTGTTATTCTTTAAATGTGACGGTGACAGGGAGGATGGCACTGGGTAAACAGTGAACTCTGTCGCCTACAGTTTCACATCAAAGTTGGAAATTCATTTATTAACGAGGCTCCCGGGTTCCACCAAATGAATCTGTTACAGAGAAGCCAGCTGCACTCGGCTGCTTTACTTAGAGAAAGTAGCACCTAGGTCGCATCTGTAACATCAAACAGTCCTTCCAGGCAGAGCAGCAATTACTCAAGGAGGATTAAAGCTCCGCCCATCTCTGTAACTAAGCAAACTTGGGTAACGCTATACTGCGAAGTGAATCATTATTCCTACAAATCACTAGTCCGAGGCTTTGAACACTACAAACACTAGAAGTGTCACTTAATTTGAAACAGTTGTTTTTAATTCAAAGAACGTGTAGTAACTATTAATTTATTTTTCGAGATGTTAATACAGTTACACCATTTTCCCATCTCTTTCCTCCTTCCAAAAACTCCCATACACCCCTCCTTGTCTCGTTCATATCCACAGTCTCTTTCTCAATGGTTGTTAAATTCAGACACACACACACGCACACACACACACCTAAATATGACCTCCTTAGCCTGCCTAATGTTATATGCATGCATGTTTACAGGGCTGACCATCTGCCACTGAGTGACCATTTGGTGTGTGCTTCACTGAGGAAGATTATTTCTTCCGCTGAGAACATTCCTTAGCTGCCTATGGCGCTTTGTGTGGGGCTGAGGTTTCACGGCTCCTCCGTCCCATCCACTTGGACATGTCTACTGTTGTCCTTGTCCAGCTCATATTTACACAGGCATATTGGTGAGACATTCCTAGGGGACACAGTCTCATAGCAAACTCCATGACCCTCTGGGTCTTGCAATCGTTCTGCTCTTTCTACAATGTTCCCTGAGCCTTAGGATTTGTTTTGTAGATGGATCCACTGGAACAAGGGCAATCAATGAGCATTTTGACTGGCTGTGATTTTCTGAAAGAGGTTTCCATCTGCTGCAACGAGAAGTTTATCATATGTATCTATGTAGTTTATCATATATATTTATCATATATATTATGATATATTCATTGCATATATTAATTTGTGTAAACTTGGTTATGGGGTATAATCTTTTTGATGTATGTCTGTATTTTGTTTGCAAGTATTATATTGAGCATTCTTGAATCTATGTTCAGACATACTGGTCTCTCTCCCCCTCCCTCCCTTCTTTCTTTTTTGCTGTTGTTGTGTCTTTATCTTGTTTTGGTATTAGAGCAATGCTGACTCTGGAGGTGCCCCTTCTGTTTCTTTTATTCTTTTCCCCTTTTTATTGTAGTAACTTAAGGAGGCTTGGCTGTAGATCTTCTTTGGGTTAATGGAAGAATGCTGTGACTTCACTTGGCCCTGGACTTTTTTTTTTTAATTTAAAGGCTTTTTATTACTAGATCAAGCTTGTCATTTGCTATACTTCTTTGTGGGTTGTTGCTTTTTTCTTGATTTAATCTTGGTGGTTTGGCTGGATCTAGAAATTCATTTTTTCACATTTTGCAGCTTAACAGAGTGCAGGTTCTTAATGTATTCTCTTATAATATTGTGAACTTCTTGGTGTCTGTTGTAATGCTTTTCCTACTTGTTTCTGAATCTTTTAATTTGGGTCCTCTCTGCTCTTTCTTTTGGTTAGTTTGCCAACTGTCTGCCAAATTTGTTTATCTTCTCGAAAAACAAGTTTAGATTTGTCAGTTCTTTGTAGTGTTTCTATTTCATTAATTTTTGCTCTGATTTTTGTTATTTTTTGCTGTTGACTGTTGTGATGGCTCTTCTTGGTTGTCAACTTGACTGTATCTGGAGTAAACTACAATCCAGAAAGGGAGAGCATACTTGTGAGAGATTTTCCTTGGTTTGAAGCGGGCGAATCCAATTCTCTAGTCTGAAACAAAAGGTACACCTTTGATTCAGAGCTTGGGGTGAGAAGACACATTCTTTTGATGATCTGATAAGACAAGAAGATACACCTTTAACCTGAGCCACACCTTCTGCTGGAAGCCTAATAAGGACATGGAAGAAGAAAGCTATTGCTATTTGACTGCTTGCCCACACCCTGCTAGGATATCCACTCCTTCACTGGCATTAGAACCTACTTCTTTGGGATTGCAGCATATTCAGAAGACCAGGAGAGAGAGAGAGAGAGAGAGAGAGAGAGAGAGAGAGAGAGAGAGAGAGAGAGAGAGAGAGAGAA